CTCGCTTGGGTTTCAGTATGAAAATTCGAAAGCAGTGGGAAAGAAATGCTGGACCTATCACGGAGATGCTAACAGACAGCCTATTACAGTATTTAATAAAAACAGAAGCAGCATGCCTGTCATAGGCTAATAAATCCTACCTCCTGCACGCTTTTAAAAACAGTCTGAACCGGCTTCCACGGAGCGTCGGGGAACTAATCTTAAGCATGGCTGTCTAGCGTGCCTGTCACTCCTATTGTCCTTCCAAACTCTTGCAGACATTTTGAGCGAGGAGTATTAGAGCTATGAGTTAGCGAGGGTGTGACATCAATGGTCCACAAAGGCTGCCAGCAGGAAAGGTAAAGATGGGTACCGGTGGCTGTGTGGAGGACTGCACGGGAGCGCTGTCATTACAAATTAAGCGTGGCTTTTGAGGAAGATGTGACAACTCCAACTACCGGAGGTAGGATTTGCGTGTAAAACAAAGGAATCTGTTGCTGTTTGGTGCTTTTTGTTGTTTGCTCGGCGCCGGGGTGCTGTGTGGGTAAGGGATTGCAGCCAGGTGCGACGGAGACGGCTGGGTCGGCTTGGGGCTCCGCGCTGACCAAAACAGAAAACCCAGTGGGCAGTGTGAGGTTCCTGGCTGGAAAGCCTCGCGGACAGACTGGCTCCGGGCTCGCTCGCTGCCTGCTGAGTGTGCACTCCGCGTTGCTTTCCGTGGAGTAGAAGGCTTAGAGGTCACGGAGAAAACAGTTCGTTTCTTACCGGTGGTGCCAGATAGGCTGGGGAGGGGGCATTGAGAGAAGACTTTGGCAGGTGGGAGGAGAGAGAACCAAGAAAAATAGAGGAAGCCCTGCTGAACTTGAAACCTGTTAGGTAAATATTTTATTCCTGTAGTCGATGTGCTTTGGTGGTCAGAGGGTAATTCGGAAGACAGAGATGGATTTCCCCCCATAATCTACCATAAGAGAAAACTGGTTACCTCCGTCCATCTTGCATATTGAAAGGCTGGTCCACACCATTCTGTTCCTATTAATGGCTTTGCTAAAAACAGACCCGGAGTTTGAGAGTAAAGAAGGGGCTTTCTCTCTGATCCTGCTCTTGCCTTTGAGCAACTGCTGTGCTGCGGATGGAAATGGGGATTCGCTGGAGGTTAAGGACTTGACCTTTTATTTTGTTAATGAACAGCGTAGAAGCATGATTTTCCTTGAAGATAAAGAGGGGCAGTTGGGTTCCACACTCAGGGAGGAGGGGGTAATGAGTAGATTTGGCTGCAGCTCCTTGCACTTCAGATGGGATCTGGAGAGGGAATGTAGGAACCTCCCGCTGAGGTTTCAGAGGCAAAAGTACAATGATCCAAAACCAATGTTTCCGCGGTTTGATGTGTGGTGCCAGTTCTGTTCTGTCAGTGGATGTGACCCTCAGCGTGAAGTGGCAGGGACAAAGTGAGCGTGTTCCTCCGTGCTAGTGCGTTCTTTCCCCGTGGACTTCACAAACTCAAAGCTGTAAAGATACTGCTTTCTGTTTTGAAAAAAAAAAAAAAAGAAAGAAAGAAAGAAAAAAACTCTGTTGCGATGCATGGATTTAGTTATAATCAACAGAAAAAAAATCTTCAATGGTCATTTTTATAAAGAATGTTCTCTACTGGCTACTGGCCTATGTCATCTATATAATGCAGTATAAATTAAAAATAAGTGTTAAGGGCCATTGCAATATGTTAGTTTTCAGCTAAATACTGGAATTAAGGTTAAGTGGGATTCTTGTGTGTGTGTGTGTGTGTGTGTGTGTGTGTGTGTGTGTGTGTGTTTGAGCGCCTGTGTGCACCTGCCATTTACACACTTTCCTGTGGTTAAGAGACCTCTAGGCTTCAAGTTAGGCATTTGTTTTTCATAACAGAATGATGGGCATTAGTGAGCCAGCTACCCAGTCCTAGCTGGTCTTTGAGTAACCTGGAGCACATGGCTATGAATAACTGGATTTCCTAGTGAGATTTATGGTTAAGAGTAGTTTGTGCTTCTCTGTGGCCAGTGGAGAGCATGACCTTGACCTTGTAAAGTCCCCATCTCTAGCCAGTTGAGGTCACCAGCAAAGAATCCATAACTAGAAAAAGACAGAGCCGGGACTTCACAAACACAAAATCTGTCAGCAGGAGTTAATAACTGAGTGTTATTGTTTTCCTTGATTTTAAAAAGACTTTTCCTGAAATTTTCCAATTTTACCTGAATTTGATTGTGTCAATTATTTCTCTGAAGGGCAATTTAAGCCATGGGAAGAACAGCAGAAGGATGATTTTATTGTAGTTAGGCCCTAACACTTCGCTGATAAGCGAAGCTGGTTTCCACAGTGTTCACAGATTTGTGGGGAAAGATCTTTTATGAAATCTGCCTGCTGTGTGTCAGTCTAGATTGTACCCCCAACGAAAATGAAAACCAGGAGGACACAGGACGACGTGGGTCTCTTTTGTCAGCTCTGAGGAAAGTTGAGCTGAGTAATTTGGTCAAATGATCTACAAATTAACCCCCGTGCCCGTTTATGCTGGGAGGTGGCAGCCAGAGCCGCCCCCATCATCTTTCCCTTTCACTTTCTGCTCTATCTAGTAACGGAAAACAAAGCTTCCTCCAGCTACACGGGAAGTGTGCTTGGCATCCCCCCCCCCCGACATAAAAAGTAAACAAGGCGCCTGCCAGTCTTGTTATCTCGTCCTCCTGGCCGCAAACCACCGCTTAGTCACCAAGGCACCCAGACTCCACAGTGGTCCTTGTTCTCGGCCGGTCAGTCCCTCTGTTCTACACATGCAGCCGTCACGTCACTCTACTTTTATCTACCGGACGTGACATTTCTCACACTGACACAACTTTCTCTTCTATCATCTCTCTTGGGAAAAAAAGAAAACTCTTTCCCCTCCAAATTCCTGTCATAGAATCCAGTAGAAAGTAAACCACAATAATATATATATATGTGTGTGTGTATATATATATAGTCTTGATTACAGGAACGTGTGTACAAGTGTGCAATATAGCTCAAATTACAATAATAGATACGCAGCATAACCCTCATTTTTTATAATGCATGTGTGTATGAAAAATAGGGGAAAAAAAGTATGCCAAAATGTCAGCAGCCATTTTCTCAATGTGGCGTGCTTATTTGCGCACTTGCTAAGATGTTTTGTGAGAAGTGTTATCCCAATAGTCACAAGGTCAGTGTCAAAAAGCCTACCCATGTCTCCTTTCTGTCCATGCTGCCATTTCAGCTCTTAGCTTACTTCACAGCACAGATTATGACTTCCTATAAAATTCAGAGTCATTTGTTTGTGCAAGCAAGACTCAGAGCAGGTAAAGTTTCTCTGGCAAGGATTATCCTCTCTCAAATACTGGCTCCCTGATCTTCACTGAGGTTGCCTCAGTGTGTGTGTGTGTGTGTGTGTGTGTAAATTTTCTGTTTATTTTCATTTTTAAGGTATTTTTATTATTCTTACTTATGTGTATATGTCTGTATGTGGGTATGTGATATTAGTACGGGTACCCACAGAGACCAGAAGCACAGGGCTCCCCTGCAATTGGAGAGATAGGCAGTTGTGACCTGCTTGAAGTAGGTTCTGGGAAGGCGTTCGGGGCAAGTCTTCTGAAAGAGCAGCAACCAATCAACCGCTGACCTATCACTCCAACCCCTTTTACTTGTTTTTTTAAGTGGAAGACCATTTTCAAGTCCCTTTCCTCATTCTTTGCTAAGTCTTAAAATGTTGGTGTGTTCCATGGATCAACTGTAAGTCTTTTCTTTATCTATATTTAAGCTCCAAATATGTCAAATCCTACCTTGAGTCCTTCAAGACTATCCATGAATACACACTCACAAATTCTCAGCCCTGACCTAGACTCCCCACTGACACACCCAGCTTCCTACAGACCTGTTCCTTAAACATCTGACAGCCATCTCGCTCCTACTATGCTCTACATCAAATGTCTGGATTTTCACTTCAGATCCTCCTCTTCAGTGTTGCTGGAGAATTCACTGTTCGCTTTCTCAGAAGAAAACTCTTGAAGTCTTCTTTGAATCCTCCCATTTCTTCACAGGCCATAATGTCCATAGTCGCTGCCTGTACCTTTACTATAGACCTAATACTGTCACTGTTCATTTGCTTGCCTTTCACCAATCCCCCAAATTAACACATTCTTTCACAATTCATTTCTTCTTCTTCTTCTTCTTCTTCTTCTTCTTCTTCTTCTTCTTCTTCTTCTTCTTC